CCCCCAAGTGAGAAGAACCCAAACAGGCCCACACCAAGACACATAGTAATTAAAACGCCAAAAATTCAAGACAAAGAGAGAATCCTAATAGCAGCAACAGAGAAGCAACCGGTTACCTACAAAGGAACCCCCATAAGGCTCTCAGCTGACTTCTCAAAAGAAATACTACAGGCCAGAAGGGAATGGCATGAAGTAATCAAGGTCATGAAAAATAAGGATGTGAATCCAAGACTACTCTACCCAGCAAGGCTGTCATTCAAATTAGAAGGTCAAATAAAGAGCATCCCAGACAAAAAGAGGCTAAGGGAATACATTAATACTAAACCAGCACTGCAAATAATGTTAAAAGGACTGCTGTAATTAGTAGAACAAATAGGGAGAAAAATGGAACCACACTAAACAAAAATGGCAATAAATAAGTCCATACCAATAATCACCTTAAATGTAAATGGATTGAATGCTCTGACAAAAAGACACAGAGTAACTGATTGGATAAGAAAGCATGACTCATCTATATGTTCTTTAGAAGAGACCCACCTCACAACAAAAGACTCACATAGGTTGAAAGTGAAGGAATGGAAAAACAATCTTCCAAGCAAACAGAAAGGAAAAAAAAGCTGGGGTAGCAATACTCATATTTGATAAAATAGATTTCATTTTTTTTCCATCCTCACCCGAGGACATTTTCCATATTTTGTTCAGATAGAGTGGGAGGGAGAGAGAGAGAGAGAGAGAAACATCGACGTGAAAGGGACACATCAAGTGGTTGTCACCCACACGACCCATCCTGGGCCGGGGACAAACTGCAACTGAGGTACGTGCCCTTAGTGGGAACTGGACCTGGGTCTCTCTGGACCACAGGCCGCCGCTCTAACCGCTGAGCCAAACCGGCCAGGGCGATAAAATAGATTTCAAAATGGAGGCAATACCTAGAGAGAAAGAAGGCCACTACGTAATATTGAAAGGATCTATCTAACAGGAAGATATAACCTAGATAAACATATATGCACCCAATATAGGAGCAGCAAACTATATGAAAAAATCTTCTGGAGGACTTCAACGGAGGAATTGACAGCAATACAATCATAGCAGGGGACTTTAACACCCCACTGACTTCACTGTACAGATCCTCTAGACAAAATTATTAGCAAGGAAACAGAGACTCTAAATGAAGCACTAGACCAAATGGATTTAATAGATATATACAGAGAATTCCACCTTAAAACTAGAGAATTCACTTTCTTCTCAAGTGCACATGGGACATTCTCAAAGATAGACCACATGATAGGACACAACCTACTTCTCTACAAGTTCAAGAAGATTGAAATATTATCAACCATCTTCTCAGATCACAAAGGCATGCAACTAGAAATCAATTGCAAGAAAAATATGCAAAGACATTTGAACACATGGAGGCTAAATAGCATGTTATTAAGCAACAAATGGGTTAGCGAGAATACCAAGGAAGAAATTAAAAACTTCCTGAAAACCAATAAAAATGAACACACAGCAAATATATGGGATGCAGTGAAAACAGTTCTGAGAGAAGTTCATAGTATCACAAGCCTACCTCAAGAAACACAAAAAATTTATAATGGACTGTCTAACCTCAAAACTTTAAGAACCAGAAAGGAAACAGAAAGAAAACCCCAGACCAAGTAGAAGGAAGGAAATAGTAAAGATCAGAGCAGAAATAAATGACAGAGACCAATAAGAACAATTCAAAGTATCAATGAAACATTGAGCTGGTTTTTCAAAAAGATAAACAAGATTGATGGACACTTAGCTAGACTCACCAAGAAACAAAGAGAGAGAACCCAAATACACAAAATCAGAAATGAAAGAGGAGAGGTAACAACTGACACCACAGAAATACAAAAGATCGTTAACAACTACTATGAACAATTATATGGCAACAAATTTGACAATCTAAGCAAAATGGACAAATTTCTAGAAACACACTGTCTACCAAAACTGGACCAGGAAGAGATAGAAAAATTGAACAAACTAATAACAACTAAGGAAACTGAAGAGGTAATCAAGACTCTCCCAGCAAACAAAAGCCCAGTCCCGGACGGCTTCACAGGGGAGTTTTACCGAACATTCAAAGAAGAACTAACACCCATTCTCCTCAAACTATTTCAAAAAATTCAAAAAGAAGAAAGACTTCCAAACTTATTTAATGAGGCTAGCATAATTGTAATTCCAAAACCAGAGAAAGACACTACAAAGAAAGAAAAATACAGGCCAATATCCCTGGTGAACATAGATTCGAAAATCCTGAACAAAATACTAACAAATCGGATTTAGCTATACATCTAAGAAATTATTCAGCATGACCAAGTGGGATTCATCCCAGGGATGCAAGGCTGGTATAATATTTGCAAATCAATAAATATGATACACCACAGAAACAAAATAAAGAATAAAAACCACATGATCATATCAATATGTGCTGAAAAAGCATTCGACAAAATCCAGCATCCATTTCTGATAAAAACGCTCAGCAATGTGGGAATAGAGGGCTCATATCTCGACATAATAAAGGCCATATATGAAAGACCTACAGCCAACATCATACTTAATGGGCAAAACCTAAAAGCATTTCCCTTAAGAAGAGGAACAAGATAGGGATGCCCACTTTCATCACCCTTATTTAACATAGTAATGGAAGTCTTAGCCACAGCAATTGGACAGTAGAAAAAATAAAAGGGATCCAAATTGGGAAGGAGGAAGTGAGACTGTCATTATTTGCAGATGACACGATATTATACATATAAAACTCAAAAGACTCCATCACAAATCTACTAGACTTAATAAGTAAATTTGGCAAAGTAGCAGGATACAAAATTAATGTCAAGAAATCAATGGCATTCTTATATGAACTAACAGAATGATGAACTAACAGAAAGAGAAACTGAAAAGACAATCCCATTTACCAATGTGGCAAAAAAATTAAGATGCCTAGGAATAAACTTAACCAAAGAAGTAAAGGACTTATTTGCAGAAAACTACAGGACATTGAAAAAGAAATAGAGGAAGGTATAAAAAAGTGGAAGCACATACTATGTTCATGGATTGGAAGAATTAACATCATTAAAATGTCCGTATTACCCAAAGCAATCTATAAATTCAATGCAATCCCCATCAAAATACCAATGACATATTTTATAGAACTAGAGCAAATATTCAAAAGTTCATGTGCAACCAAAAAAAGATCCTGAATAGCCCCAGCAATCTTGAAAAAGAAGGGCATAGTAGGTGGAATCACAATACCAGATATCAGGTTATACTACAAAGCGACTTTAATCAAAACAGCCTGGTACTGGCAAAAGAACAGGCAGACAGACCAGTGGAACAGAATAGAGAACCCAGAAATGGACCCAAGACACTATGGGTCAATTAATATTTGACAAAGTGGGCAAGAGTATACAGTGGAATAAAGACAGCCTCTTTAATAAATGGTGTTGGAAAAATAGGACAGCTACAGGCAAAAAAATTAAACTAGATTGTCAACTTACACCATAACCAAAAATAAACTCAAAATGGATAAAAGACTTATATATGACCCATGAATCCATAACCATTCTATAAGAAAATGTAGGCAACAAAATTTCAGACATCATAAGCAGCAGAATTTTCACTGATGTATCACCTAAGGCAAAAGAAACAGGAAAAAATGAATACATGGTACTACATCAAACTCAAAAGCTTTTGTACAGCAACAGATACAATCATCAAAATGGAAAGGCAACCCACTGTATGGGAGAGCATCATTGCCAAGGATACATCAGATAAGGGGTTAATTTCCAAAATATATCGAATAGTCATACAACTCACAAAAGGAAGACAAGGAACCCAATTGAAAAATGGGCAGAGGAGCTGAATAGACTCCTCTCCAAACAGGACATACAAATGGCCAAGAGGCATATGAAAAAATGCTCAACATCACTAATCATCAGAGAGATGCAAATTAAAACAACAATGAGGTATCACCTCACACCTGTCAGAATGGCCGCCATCAACAAATCATCAAACAACAAGTGTTGGCGAGGGTGTGGAGAAAAGGGGACTCTAGCACACTGCTGATGGGAATGCAGACTGGTGCAGCCACTATGGAAAACAATATGGTGTTACCTCAAAAAATTAAAAATTGAACTTCCATTTGACCCAGTGATCCCACTGCTAGGAATATACCCTAAGAAGCCTGAAACACCAATCAGAAAGAATATATGTACCCCCATGTTCATAGCAGCACTATTTACAATAGCTAAGATCTGGCAACAGCCCAAGTGTCCACCAGTAGACGAATGGATAAAAAAGCTGTGGTACATATACACAATGGAGTACTATGCAGCTGTAAGAAAGAAAGATCTCTTATCCTTTGAGACGACATGGAGGGACCTGGAAAGTATTATCCTAAGTGAAACAAGCCAAGGAGAAAAAGACAAATACTACATGATCTCACTTATTTCTGGAATATAATGAACGTAACTGTCTGAGGAATAGGGTAGACTGGGAAACATGGAAGTAGGGTACAGACTGACAACCCTCAGAAGATGGGGTGGTGGGGGGAGGGAAGAGATAAACCACAGAACTTATATGCATGTATACATAACCAATGGACATGGACAACAAAGCCGGGGATGAGATGGGTGGGATGGGGAGGAGGGTGTCAATGGGATAAAAAAGGAGAAACATCTGTAACAAAAATAAAATAAAATAAAAAATAAAAAATCAATAAAAACTTATTTTTTAAAAAATGATGAAAAAAAAAAAAAAAGAAACCCAATCACACTCATATGCACATACTGAAAAAACCCCACCTTTTAGATAGTCTTTCATGAGGGACAAGACAAACAAGGCTTTGCCTTCGCTTCTATCCCAAAATCCATTGTCCAGAACCACTATCCTTCCTGAATAATCTGGTTATTTGATGTGAACTTTGATATTAACAGGAAAAAGTTTATTAACTTTTCCTGTTCTTAAATGTTCACTACCTTAGATCCTTTCTTCCCTTTAGGAAATCCCATAAATTCCAGTTCTCCGATAGATGGTGGGGGTCCTGCAGGGCCAGGGAGGCCAACATCCCCCTGTAAGATAAGTGGGAACATTAAGCAAAGCAGAAACCACACATACCATTTCTCCAGATTTTGGGTTTGTTATCTGGATGTAACTCACAAATAAACTGTCCATTACTTTGGACCCTTGTATCAATGAGATAACAAAACTATTACTGTCAAGGGGTGAGAAGAAATATATGCCTGTCCAAGTGCATTTTGTACCAGCACTGCAGAGGAAGGAAGGAAGATGAATAAAAGGAAACTGCAGGCTCATGGTTGCCATGGTCATGCATTGAAGGGTATTTAGAAAAGAGCAAAAAAGGGGTTTGAGCAAGGTGAATGGCCACTACTTGGCAACCATGATCAGACTCTAGTTGTTCTAATATTTGCCAAGAGTACAAGCAAAGGCAGTGAAGCCCATGTTAGAACATTAGAGGCTGAATTTTTCATTGGAGGCAGTACAGTCTACCAGAGGCAGCCATGAAGTGGGAGAACAAGCTTGCAGTCTCCCTTGAGCCTCCCAAATTACTATATAGCTTGTACAGAAGTAAATAGGAGAAAGAGGAAGGAAAGATAAAAGAGAATGGTGAAAGCACAGTAAAGGAGGCAAGAGAGAGGAGATGGAGAGACAGAGGAGGAGAAAGAGGAGCAAGGGGAGGAGGAGGGAAGAAGAAGACAAGAAAAAAGAAGAAGAAAAGGAAGAATTAAGATAAGAGGATAACCAGAGAAAAGGAAAGAGAAGGTGACACAGTATACAAATACCCAGGTAGAAATACAAAGTAATATATTTCAAGAAAGTATATTTGTTAGAATTCATAATTCACAGGTAGAAAGCAGGAAGACTACACAGTATGTTAAAGAAGAAAGACCACAATAGCCTATGTGTGGCATGTATGCATTCATTCTTCAAGGGACCACTACCAGAAGATCCATGTGGGGTGGGAAATGCTCATTTCCCAAGGCAAAGATTCAAATCCCCTTGCACAAGCAAGTACATGGGTGTAGCCAGAGACATTTCTTGGAGCTTATGGAATACAGGTTGTATTTTGCAAAAATGTATTTACCTTGTCTCCTTTCTCTCCTTGGAAACCTAACCCCATATTCCCCTGGGGTACAAGGTGCAGGGAGGAAAAACAAAAATGCATTTAATTATACCAGAATATCTCTGGGGAAACAAGAGTTCTTAGTGGTAGGAGGCCAAATGTCCAACACAAAGTATACTTACGTCAAGACCAAGAAGACCAGGGGGACCTGGAGGACCCTATATTAAAAATGAAGGGAAAAAGTTAGAACTTGTTAGTTTCAGGCAAAAAGAACACGGGCATGTTGAGAGTCACTGAGGATAAGTCCTTTACCATTTTGGTATAGCCTAGCATTGGTGAAGCAAATTCTACCTCCCTCCCACTAGGTTCCTTTTTTATATCCTTTGAAATCTCCCAAATTGACCCAATAACCATATTCATGTCAAAATAGTGAAGGTTTCATGTGTCATTTCTCCCAATAGGCCAATGGTGACATTTGGTGAAGCTAAACCAAAGCAATCAGTGGTGGGATTCCATGTTCTGAAGAGAGAACAATCTGGGTCAGGGCTTTCCCAGAACCACACAGATGACTTGCTATGCTTTTCCTATGCCAGTGATGTAAAACAGAATTGGTATATAAAAGAGAGATAGGTAGGTAGAGCTGTCCAAGTTGCAGTGTTGAAAAGATTTTGAAGCTTTTCTGTGCTCAGAGTAGGTGATGCTAATGGTAGTATGATTATCTATCAATGTCTGTCATGGGTGAGGGGAGTGGATGGTAGCAATAAATATGCCAGGTATCTTCCATCTCTGGGCTGTACTTTAGGTTGATCCAGACTAGGAGACTTTGGAAGCACAGAATGGATAGTCATATGAAGAGAACTCATAGCTCCTTACAAGAGCATACTTCATTTTAATCTTCCAGGAATAGAAGTTGTCTTTATTCACTAGGAGAGACTACATTTACACTGGTGTACATTAAATCCATGGCCTGGTGGGTAAAGCATTCATGTGAATGAATTCTATGATCACATGGTAGATTTAGGTTACTTACTTGAAATCCTGGTGATCCTATAGGTCCTACAGCTCCCGGAGAGCCGGGTGTTCCTCGTGGGCCCTAGAGAGGCAAGTTTTTACTAAGGTCAAAAATGCAAGATAGTTTCTTAAGGAAAATTAAAATACATGCCCCCCAAAATTACACAAGAATGTTCATATCAACTTTATTCATACTACTAAAAAATTGGAAATGTCCTAGTCCACTGATACAAGAATTGATAAATGAACTGTGATACATACATACAGTGAGATAAATACTCAATAGTAAAGTGTAACAAACTACTGATATATGAATCAATGTGGATGAATCTCACTTGCTAAGTGAAAGAAGTCAGACCCCAAAGGCTACATATTATATTATTCCCTTTATATGAGGTCCTAGAATAGAAAAAAAAAATGATTAAGGATGAAAAAATATCAGAATAGTGGTTATGTTTGGGGTGAGGTGGGGGCAGGAAGGAACTTTTGAAAGTGATGGGAATGTTTTATACCTTAAGAAGGGTTTGGATTCCACAAGAGTATTCATTTGTCAAAACATCATATGTACACTTAAAATTTGTGTATTTCATTGTATGTAAATTTTCATAGAAAGAAAAAACTGTACACAATTTTGAAGTCTAGCTAGTGATAGGCATGCTGTAATATTTAGAGCAAGAGTATTGTTTTCTGCAATTCACTTTAAAATGCATAAATATAAGATGGACTGATGGATAGAGATGGATAGATAGAAATGGGATAAAACAAGTATAGTAATATATTAATGGTTAGGGTGTTCACTGCAAAATTCATCCAACTTTGCTCTAGATTTGAAAATGTTCAGCCCTGGCCAGTTTGGCTCAGCGGTTAGAGTGCTGGCCTGCGGTCCAGAGAGACCCAGGTTCGGTTCCTGCTAAGAGCACGTACCTCGGTTGTGGTTTGTCCCCGGCCCTGGTTCGGTTGTGCAGGTGGCAACCATTCAATGTATCCCTTTTACGTCGATGTTTCTCTTTTTCTCTCTCCCTCCCACTCTATCTGAACACAATATTGAAAAATGTCCTTGGGTGAGGATAAAAAAAAAGAAAAGAAAAAAAATGTTCCTATTAAAGTGATGTAAAAAAGAAAACTTAAAAAGGAAGCCTAAACAATTATATTAATATCAGATAAACTAGAATTCAAGGCAACTAATATTACCAGGGATAAAAGGGGGCATTTCATAATAATAAATAGCTCAATTTTAGATTTGCGTTCACCTAATAGCAGAGCTTCAAAATACATGAAGCAAAAACTGATAGAAGCACAAGGAGAAATGGAAAAATCCACAATTATAGTTGAAGATTTTAACACCCTTTCCTCAGTTATCAACATAAGTTAGACCAAAAATATCAGTGAGAACACAGAAGATCCAAAAAAACATTATCAATTACCTTGACCTAATGTTTTTATTTTTTAGATCACTATACCCCAAACCAGCTGAATACATACATATTCTCTTCAAGTGTGTATGGCATATTCAGCAAGATGGTTCCATATGCTGGACCATAAAACAAATATCAACAAATTTAAAAGGATTGAAGTCATACAGAGTGTGCACTCTAACTGCAATTAAATCAAACTAAAAATCAGTAACAGGGACATATATGGGAAGTTGCCAAATATTTGAAAATTAAACAACACACATCTGAAAGGAAAACTAGAAGATATTTTGAACTGAATGATAACAATGGTGAAATTAAAAACAAGACGATGAAATCTAAAGAGAAAGATGGTATGGAGAAATGTATGGCCTAATTAAAATTGCGAACAGAAAAAAAAGGTTATATGTGCTCAGGTAAGGAATGGAGAGGACGAGTGAAATCAAGACTTCAGTGGAAGAGTAACTAGGGAGTCAAAGTTTCCCCATGAATGTATGCTTTGACAACAACTAGTAACCTGTAATCTCATTACTGATCACAAACATCTTGGCCACCAAACTCTCCTCCCTAAATCTACATGCTTTATTTATCATGCTTGTGTATGTACATAAACATTGTATCTTTGGGGGTAGAAAAATGAGTTCTAAGAGAAGCTATGCAGCAAATATAGTTATTCTACAAATTTAGTTAACACACCATCTAAGTCAACGCTGTTTAGCTGTAGTTGACTGGACACCCTTGGTGCTTACTCATTCATCTCTGTTTGCATGCGTACTTGCATACATCCTCTTTATTGCCTACCTTTTATCACACTGCTTTCTGTGTAGAAAGCTTTCTCCCATTGCCAGTCAGCCTAAGCATCATCCACATTTCTCAGAGGCTACCTTCCCTATTTTAGATATAAAATCTCTCATGATGTATCCTTAGGTGGACATCATCTTTTCCCTTAAGCTTTTGTAGCATTCTTATGGTACATTCCTAAGAGTGTTTCACATCGTGGGTGGGGGGCAGAGACCATGTCTGCATTGTCTCAGGGATCGCTCATAGAATTTTGCTGAGAATAGGTGCTTAGTACCTGTTCTGGAATAAAGCAGAAAGGAAGGAACCCTGACACAGGCAAGAAGGAAGAAAGGAGGGGCTTTTCTTAAGCCACTTCAAAGGAAAGTGATGACTATGTGGAAACTCAAGAAAAACAGAAAGCTCTTGTTAATACAATTCATGACTTTTCATGGACTCAGTAGTATTTAGAGCCATTTAAAGGAAACACACACACACACAAACACACACACACATATATAATTTTTTAGAAGAGTGTTCTACTTTTGTTTTACCCAGAGCACTCTCAACACACAAAAAACACTTAGTAAATGCTTGCTGAATGAAATGCAAAATTCTGTCCCAGGGAGTGTGTAGTTTCCTGGCCTAAAGGTCTAAAAGTCTTCCTGCTGTATAACTTTCAGGTGGACAGTCCATCCTCTCAGTACATTCTCATCTGGAAAATGTCAGTGGTGTGACCCTGTCTACCTAAACTCTCTATTTTCCTGGAGAAGGTCCACAAAGATCTTCAAACACTGAAGGGAAGAATGAAAAGGGGCAATCAGTAACTGTTGACTAAACATTGAGAGCTCAATGCATAACTAACAACTTACAGTGATTCCTTCTAGTCCGGGCAGCCCAGGATCCCCCTGAGAAACAGACAAAGGCAACACTGAAGAGATTAATAAATCAAGCCTTTGGTATTTCATAGATAACAGACCTAAGATGCATGGGCATAAAAATGCATCGCTGAAGCTTAGTCCTCTTCTGTCAAGGTCTTGTGTTTTAAAAAATGTATGAATTAGATATGTTCAACCATTTACTTTATGCTAGGAAAAATCTGGACTCTAAAGGGCAAATATTACAACATTGATTGAACAGTATTTCATATTTAACTTTAATTAATTTTCACATTTGCTAGGAACTTATCAATTAGAAACTGCTTCTGTGGGCTGGTGATTTTCCTTCCTGTGTTCCTTCATCCCCAGAGAACCTATGCCCATATGTATATAATGCAAATCAGACATTTCAAGGGAGAATCAACAGAACATACAATCTTTGATTACTTTGCAGCATCTTAAGTCACTGTATAAATCTGTAATATAACCATCTTGTGGAAGTTGCTGAGTCCATGGTCTCTTTTAATTTTTTGGCCAAACTATCTAGTCAGTGTTTGCTATGACAATGCCCATATTTTGACACCTGCTATTCTCACTGCACTTGGCTTATGGTAAAAAATCATCTCTCTCTTATCAATGTTTCTATCTCTCCCTCTCTCTTCCTCTCTCTCAGATCAAAAAAGGGAAAAAAAATTTTGTCACTGGTTTGATTCCCGGTCAGGACACATGCCCAGGTTGTAGGCCCAATCCCCAGTGACAGCAATCCAGGAGGTGGCCAATCAATGTTCTCTCTCATTGATGTCTCTCTCTCTCTCTCTCTCTCTCTCTCTCTCTCTCTCAAATTAATAAAGAAATTTAAAAAAAAATCAGCTCTATTCAACATAGAAAGCGTACTGCCTATGTTTTAGCTCTTAGGTAAACTGGTTGTGTGACTCTCTGAGCAAGTCACATAACCTCAGTATATCTCAGTTTTTCTATCTGTAAAATGAGCAACATGAATCTATCATGAGGTCTTTTCCAACTCTAACATTCTATCTTCTGCTGTGGCATCTATAACCAAACCCTGTACCTTCTTCAGTTCTCATCTACCCACCCCTATCAATCACTCCCTTCCAAAGTGACTTCCAGTGTTCAGGGCCCTGTACATGAATAGAATAGAAAAACGTGACACCCTCAGTTGAGTGAGCTTGGGTGTATCTTCCCTTTATATTTGGCACATAGATTTCGATTTACTAGCAAGAAAACGATGGGCTCCCTTCCCATGCTGCAAGGGAAATAGTGTCAATCATTTGGCAACAGAGTTTATTGAAGGCCCGCAGGATATCAGGCAGCATAAACCAAGAGTACAGTCACAAGAATATAGAAGGTTTTTGTCAATTCTATGAAGAGATGTACATTTCCAACCTGCTGCAGAGATGATAGGCAATTTTTGCAGAGAGCCAGGGGCCCAGCTAAGGGTCATGGTCTGGTATGCAGGGACAGAAAAGGGTAGGGCCAGGATCCTGGGCTGGTGGCCATGCTGAGATGGGCAGAGACATACATGGCTTCAAACCAAGGTATGCAGACATCAAGGATTCTAGAGCAGACAAAAGATATCTTCCTCCAGGAAATGTCTCAGCTTGTCAAAGAAAATAATATGCATGCAAACTGCTCGTTTGCTGATCTGTTTCTTATTTTTGATCTAGATCCTACAAAGCAAATATCTTTGACAGTATGGTTACAAACATTTTTGTCAATGTTTCTATCAAAAAATGCTCAGGATCCTCCTTTTAAAATACAGCTTGATCTGCCCCTTAAATAGAGATGCAAATGCTAGTTCTAGAAATGTTTTTATTGGAGGTGGGGCCAAATCCAGGGGAGCTCGGCTTATAACCTACTCAGCTGTCTGTTTTAGAGGCTCTTACCTTCATTCCTTTGAAACTACCTTGGGTAAGGGCAGGTTCACCTTTAGATCCTTTTTGACCAGGAAGCCCCTGAGTAAAATAAAAGAAAAAAGAAAAAACTTGTGAAAATGTACACACAGAGTTTTGGTAATACTATGAACTAATCAAGTAGAGGATGAAACAGCAAGAGGTTGAAATTATGTGTCTTTTTCTATTGCAAAAGAGGCTGTGCTAGAGGCCAAATTATATTCCAAGAACAAGTACTGTGTCTCAAAGTTGTATGCCCACTCCCCCAAATAAGATGTCTGTAAAGGTATTAGAAAGGAGGAATCTTTGCCCTGGCCGGTTTGTCTCAGCGGTTGGCGCATCGGCCTGTGGTACAGAGAAAGGAGGAATCTTTGAATCTATTCAGAGCAGTGAACTTTTTCTGTAAAGAGCCAGTTAGTAAATGATTTAGGTTTATCAGGCCATACCTGGGCTCTGTTCTATATTCTTTTTTTAAAAAAATTTTATTAATTTATTTTTGTTACAGATGTTTCTCCTTTTTTTCCCCCAGACACACTCTTCCCTATCCCCCCCACCCCATACCCAGCTTTGTTGTCTATGTCCATTGATTATGTATACATGTATATAAGTTCTGTGGTTTATCTATTCCCTCCCCCACCACCCCCTCTTCTGAGGGTTGTCAGTCTGTACCCTACTTCTTTATATCTTTTTCTTTATAGTCTTTTAAAAATGTAAAAAGAAGTCACAGGTCAAGGATGATGTGAGCCAGTGTGCTGACCATTGGTCTAAGAGATATCTACAAAACTATCTCCATCCTGTGCCGCTACCACACAACTTCAATTTCAACACTTGTCTAAGAGGCCAGTGTGTCTCACTAACACAGAAAACAGTTCACGTATGTCCAACCCATATATCAACCAGAATGTTACTGTCTCATTGGCAGATGCCAGCTAATGTCTGCTAAATGTTGTCCTCTTGTGGAAAGCCAATGTCACTTACACTAAAGGGGAAGTCAGGATTAGTATTGGGGGTAAGACTAAATTTTGGGGACTAAAGCATTGAGTTATGAATTTAATTGAGCTAAGAAATCATAAGACATATTAAAAAACAATGTAGCCCCAGAAGAACAAAGCAGTTTCTTTCCTAATACTTCCTGTTTCCCCTTACTCTTGTGGCCACTGAGCTCCTATTTAAGTTTAAGGGGAGGTTTAGGGACAGGATTAGGTTTTACCCTTGTCCTTTGACTACCAGATGTTCATTACCTTAAGATTTCTTTTCCCCATGTTGGGGGTGGCACTTCCTTTCTTTCCTGGCTATTCACTTTCCAAACACATATGTGATTCACTGTCCTCTCCTGTTGCCATGGCAGCATTTGAAGAACTTTGTGACTCAAACAGCTCATACTATGTTGGTAATACATCACTCCCCCCCCCCCCCCCCCCCCCGGCTGCCTGTTGGTTTGGTCCTTAGATGTCAAGGTTCTTTATGACAATCTGGAATCTGGGGCTTGTGCTTTATTTTGCCCAGTCTCACTTTCTTATTTTATGTTATTTTTTCCATCACCATTATTCTCCCTATAACTTTTCCACTTCCACCAACCCCCTCCCCTCACAATCACCACACTGTTGTCTGTGTCCAAGAGTTCTTTCTCTTTTTTTATTATTTTTTTCTCAATCCCTCCACCTTCCCCAAAACTCCTCCTACCAGAGTCAGCCTGCTCTCTATCTATGAGTCTATTTTGCTTGTAAGTTTAGTTTGTTCATTAAATTCCACATATGAGTGAAATCATATGGTACTTACCTTTCACTGACTGGATTATCTCACTTAACATAATGTTCTCCATCCATGCTGCTAAAAAGGGTAAAATTATCTTTCTTTTTATGGCAGAGTAGTATTCCATCATGTAAATGTACCATAGCTGTTTTATCTACTCATCTACTGATGGACACTAGGGCTGCTTCCAAATCTTAGTTGTTGTAAATAATGCTACAATGAACATAGGGGTGCATATATTCTTTCAAATTAATGTTTTGAGCTTCTTTGGACCTATTCCCAGAAGTGGAATTTTGGGTCATAAGGCAGTTCCATTTTTTTACTTTTTTGAGGTAAAAAGCATAGTGTTTTCCATAGTGGCTCCATCAATCTGCATTCCTACCAACAGTGCAAATGAATTCTGTTTTCTCCACATCCTCGCCAACACTTGTTGATTGTTGGCTTATTGATGATAGTCATTCTGACAGGTGTGAGGTGATATATCCCATTGTGATTTTAATTTGCATTTCTCTCTGGCACCTGCCCCCTTTACACAGGCAGCCTGTGTCACCTTGATGTAGAGCACCTGGCACCCACTACCTTGACTTGGAGCACCTACCACCTTGATATGGAGCACCTGGCATCTGCCACCTTGACATGAAGCAGTCTGTACCTGCTGCCTTGATACAGAGGCCAGACATATGGATCCGCCATCATGACCCTGCATGTCTGACCTGGCACTCCTGGATGACTGTCCTTGCTGCTTTGGCATGGCACACCTGGCCCCACAGCCTTGATGTGGAATACCCAGCCTCACAGCTGTCACCTGACGTCCCCAGACACCACAGGCACAACGAACCTGGTGCCCCCAGAAGACCAGACCTCATCAGGGCCCAACACCCCTTGATGCATGGACCTACTGCTATGACCAGGTGCAACTAACCCAGTGTCCCTAGAAGACTGGACGCTGCTGGGATATGATGACCCCAGATGCACAAACTTGCTGCTGTGACCAGGCATGCCTGATCTGGAAGACTGAACCTGCTGAAATGGGGAGACAAAGAAATGATCCCCAAATGAAAGAAAATGATGAACTGCCAGAAAAGAAATTAAATGAATTGGAGGCAAGCAATTTATCAGATAAAGAATACAAAGTAATGCTTGTAAGGAAGCTCAAGCAACTTAGCAAGAACTACAAACAACTTAATGAGAACTATAAGGAACTTAGTAGGGATGTTATAAGCATGAAAAAGGAGGTAGAAACCGCCAATAAGAATCAATCAGAAATGAGGAATGACATAGTTGAAATAAAGAATACCTTGGGGTCACTTTTGGTCGAGATGGTGGTGTAGGTAAACGTGGTACTCACCTCCTCCCACAACCACATCAAAATAACAACTAAACTACAGAACAGCCATCCTTCAAAATACACTGAAATCAAGCTGAATGGAAGTCCTACAACTAGGAAAACAAAGAAGCAGCCACATCGAGATGGGTAGGAGGGGCAGAGGTGCGGACAGGCTGGTCCCGCACCCACGTGTGGCAGATGAAAATCAAGAAGGGCACCTCAGCTGTGAAGGTCTTCCCTGAGGAGTGAGAGGTCCCTGTCCCGCACCAGGCGCCCAGCTCAGGGTTCCAGTGCCAGGAAGAGAAGTCCTGATCACTTTTGGCTGTAAAAACCAGTGGCAACTGAGGCTGAGGGAGGCTGAGGCTTCTGGAGACCCAGCCAGCTCCCTTAAGGGGCCTGTGCATGGACTTACTTGTACCAGCTCCATCTGAGCTCCAGTGCTGAGGGGAGGCAACTTGAAAGGCACCAACGACATACCGGGAAGAACTGAGTTGTTTGGCATTGGGGTGAGGGTTGGAGAGGCAGCTTTCTTCTGGGCAGAGGTGCTGGTTGAGGCTGTTTTCCCTTTGGTGAGTCCTTCCCCCACAGGGCAGGCAGAGGGCCGTCATATCTGGACTCCAGCAACTTGGCTCAGACTGTTTGCCCCACCCTGGTGATTCCCTGAGGCCCTGCCCCACCCAACTTTCAGGCCCACCCAAGCTGTTTCCAGTGGCTTTACCATAGGATAGGTCTGTTTTGGCTTCTACTTCAGATTTTCCTAAATTATCTCAAACAAGCAGCATCTGGCCACAGCGAGCCCCATACCTCTCACTAAGTGGCCCCAGGCCCAGCACTAGAAGCAGCCAGTCTTGGTTCACAGCTTGGCTTTGCTTGGGCACCTCCAAGCCCAGCACAATAAGCATCCATCAGCAGATCACTTTGTAGCTTATGCCTGGTGGCCCTGGGTAGAACACAGGCAGTTGGCTAATCTTGCCCCAGAGCCAGCACAACCAGTGGACAGTTTTAGATCACATCAAAGCACCACCACCAAACCACCTCCACAAGTGACACACACAAGGAATGAACTCAGAGGGTACCAGAGCACTGCTGAAGTAAGCCTTGGTCTGTGTACAGCTGATCATTCAAGGTAGTAAGAGTTTGGTAGATAGTGGGCACAGCCAGTCCTTAGAGCTGATCATCCTGAGTAAAACCTCCCATTGACATGCCAACAGCAATCAAGATTCAATTACAACAGAACGGTGTAAAGTCCACACTAGGAGTGTACCTCGAGGGCCCAACTGGGTGATCAGGGAGGCTGTGCCACTGGACCCTAAGGGACACCTACTATAACAGGTCACCTTAGGAAGCCTAGGAGACATAGCAACTCTACCTAATAGAAACAGACACAGGGAGGTAGCCAAAATGAAGACAAAAAGAAACATGTCCCAAATGAAAGAATAGAACAAAACTCCAGGAAAAAAACTAAATTAAATAGAGATAAACATTCAAACGAATGCAGAGTTCAAAACACTGCTTATAAGGATGCTCAATAAACTTAGTGAGAGCCTCGAGAGCATAATAAAGGACCAGTCAGAAATGAAGTATACACTAACTGAAATAAAGAATAATTTATAGGGAATCAATAGTAGAGTAGGTGAAGCAAAGAAGCAAACCATCAATTTTGAATATAAGGAAGCAAAAAACACCCAATCAGAACAGCAAAAAGAAAAAAAGAATCCAAAAAATAAAAATAGTATAAGGAGCCTGTGGGACAACTTCAAGTGTACCAACATTTGCATCATGGGAGTGCCAGAAGGAGAAGAGAGAGGGCAAGAAATTGAAAACCTATTTGCAAAAATAATGACAGAAAACTTCCCTAACTTGGTGAAGGAAACAGACATACAAGTCCAGAAAGCACAGAGAGTCCCAAACAAGATGAACCCAAAGAGGTCCACACCAAGACACATCATCATCAAAATGCAAAAGGTTAAAGACAAAGAGAGAA